TTGTTATTTAACCCTTTTGTCCCAAGAATATACATTTTTTTCCGAAATCGAAGGCAAGACGGAGGTCAACTTTCGAAGTCAAATTGAGGATTTTTGCCGGAAGAAACGAAATGATTTGTTGGAGGTGAACGGGGGAGGATAGAATCCGTGTACATTTATGTATAATTAGGATTTTAATTTGCCTTGGTCTCACCATCACTGGTTTTATAATCGTCGAAAGATCAGAAGATCAAAATCAAAAGTCATATATATTGAGCAGCTCTAGCTTTTTCTGGCTCAAAATTCTGCTCTTTATTTTAGTGCTGAAGTAAAAATACGTTCATCAACAGAGCCCGATCGCCGAATACGTCGTTCTTTAATCCTTTCGTCCCTGAATATAATTTTTTCCCCAAATTGTAGGTAAGACGGAAGTCAGCTGTTTCGAAGTGAAATTGAGGAATTTCAGCGAAAGAAATTAAATTATTTGTTGGGGGCGGACGGGGGAGGACATGGTACCAGTAGGAAATTCGGCTAGTACACATATTCGCGCAGCTCCGGTAATTTAAAATATTTACCTGTGTGTAGTCGGGACGGAAAGGTTAAATGTGTAAATTGTATATATTGCCGCGATGCACCGAGCTCTCCTCTATTGACTCGCGTACGTGCCGACCCGCGATTCGAATGCGAGGCGATGCGTATACAAAGCGCAAGACTGTTTGGTCTCGTAATCTATCGAATAAAATTGCGATCACGGACGGGGAAGTTAATTTATTCTTTTTTTTTCTAATCTCCTTTAACCCGCTTTTCTCGCAGTATCACGTCGGAGCCTGCGATATATAAAAGTTTTCACAATGTTGCGTAAGCTCTGATAATGTTGAAATGTTCCACATTTTACTTCCACTCCGATAGCTTCTAAATGTTTCATTTTCCATTTGAACGTTTCGTTCGGACATTTTAACGCGATAATTTAACGCGATATTATAACGCATATTTTAATGCGATAATTATAATAGCGAGTCTCTAAAAGTGGTAAGTGTAATGTTTTATGCAACGATACGTTAATATGTTTTTAAATGCCTCATCTTTCATTTCAGTGTTTCGCTTGAACATATATATTTTAACGCAGTGTTATAACGGCCAGTCTTTGAAAGTAATAAATGTAACGTTTTGCATAACGATACGCGTGTTAATTCAGGCTATATCCTTGTTACACGTATTTGCCGGTTCTTTCGCGTAAAAATGCGCGTCGGAAACGGCCCCGATACCAACATACTACTGTGATCAAAAAGTATCCGAACTTTATTTCTTTTAAATCGCGGGTAAACTGTAAATCAAATCCGTTAGCTTTTTTAAGTTAGTACACATGTCCTTCACATTTGGTGAAAAAATCATGGCGTTCCTTCAAGCCGTTTGAAAGTGGCAGTTGTTTATGTCAGTGTTGCGCACGGCGATTTTTACGATGTCGAAAAATATGGAGTAAAGAATTTGTTTGAAATTTTGTGTTGCGAACGAAATTTCGTTCACAAACGTATTCAAAATGTTGCAAAAAGCTTATGGCGATGTTTCGATTGTTTATCGAAAACAAGTACGTTTGAGCGGTTTAAGAAGTTTCAAGAAGGACGAGAATCCGTTGAAGACGACCCACCTCTGGAAGACCATTAACGTCAACGAATGACGCTCACATTGAGAATGCGAAAGAATTGGTGCTCCAAAATTGTCGATTGACTGTGCGAGAGATAGCAGATGAAGTTGGAATATCATTTGGATCGTGCCAGCACATTTTGTCCAATGTACCGGACATGAAACGGGTCGCATCGCGCTTGATTCTGAAAAACCTGAATTTTCTCCAAAATTTTCTTCAAAAACTCAACGAATGTCGCTCCACAAGCATCGTATTCACCAGACATGGCCCTCTGTGACTTTTTCCTGTTCCCCCTCCTGAAAAAAACCATTTCGCGGAAAGCGTTTCGAATCGATTGAAGACATCAAAGAAAAATCGTTGCGTGAATTGAAGGCCATACCGTCTGCCGCGTATGAGCGATGTTTCCAGGACTGGATCAAACGCAGGCATATGTGCGTTGCAAGCAATGGGAACTACTTTGAAGGAGACTACAAGAATTTTGATGATTGAATTGTAATTTTGATTTTTAAAAATAAAGTTCGGATACTTTTTGACCACAATAGTATGTGCGCATGTATCATAGTGTGTCGTTTGATAGGTTTCGAGTCTGAAGATGACGTTACCGGTCGCAAACTGTTGCAAGGTGTGAAAGCCACACGTCTTTTTAATAATTGTGATCCCGAGTGATTAGTCACATGCGACGCTCAGTTTCGTTCTGACAGTCAGTTGTATTAAATTGGTGCAAAAATAAATGCGGTTTTTATCATCTTAAGTTTGGTGCTGATTTCTCCAGAGTTACCGTTATCTTTTCCAGAATTCTTGTAGGAATCAACAAATTCGTTTCCCGTTGGGAAAAATGTGCGCAGACCAACGGTCTTTATTTCGATTAATAAATGTAATTTTTAACTGATATATGCGTCCTTATACTCGATATGTAAAAACCGTAATTTTTTGCATCGACCTAATAGTACGCGTGTCAGTATACTTGTTTAACGATGGAAAAGATCGAATATCGTTGCGTGATTAAACACGTGAGTTGACTAGGTGGGACGACGCCAAAGGAAATCAAAACCAAGCTGGTTGACTCTGCTCCTTCGTTTTCAACGATGAAAGTTTGGGCTGCCGAGTTTAAGCGCGACCGCACGCGAGTGTGCTCGATGATGAGCGCTCAAAAACTGCAACGACTGAGGAAACGATCGACAAAGTGCATCAAATCGTACTGGATGATCGGAGACTGAAGAAATCGCGAATGCCGCACGTACACACTCCTGAACGTGTGCTCAAAATATTACATGAAGATTCGGATATGAGAAAGCTGACTGCGCGATGGATCCCGCATTTGCTGATGGAAAACGCATTCGACACAACATTGCAAAGGAGCGTTTGGACCGATTCAAGCGGACACAAAGGACTTTTTGCGTCGATTCATGACTGTTCGTGACGAAACATGGATGCATCACTGTACACCTGAAAGCAAGGAACAGTCAAAACGGTGGACTTCACTGGGCGAGCTTGCTCCGAAGAAGGCGATGTTTCATTCGGAAGAGTTATCGCGACTGTTTTTTTTAAGATAGTCTCGTCGATTATCTTCAGGAAGGAAAAACTATTACTGGCATATGCATCGTTATTAAAACGTTTGAAAGAAGAAATCGCAAAAAACGACCGCATTTGAAGAAGAAAAAGGTGCATTTTCATCAATCGTCATAGCCAAACTGCATGAATTATGCTACGAACTGCCTTCCTCCCCATTCTATTCTCTGATATAGCCCCCTGCAACTTTTTTTAATCTAACACAAGAAAAGGATTGGGAGGAAAAACAATTGCGACCGATGAGAAAATAATCGCTGTAAACGAATATTCTGTAGGAACTGGCTCAACCTACTTTGCAGACGGGACGAGAGGAGGCCATATTGAAAAATAAAAAATCCGTTTTTTGCCGAAAAATATAAGCGCTTCATTGTTAAGTCCGAAACTTATCAAACAATCCAGGTGCAAGATGCCCGAACTTATAACTCCCGCGTAGATTAAATAACATGAAAACAGGGATGAGAGGAACAAAATTTGCGACCAGTGAGAGAACGATTGCCGTAAAACGATTTTGCAGGAACTAATCCAACTTACTTTGCTGACGGAACTAGAAGAGAACTAGAAAAAAGATGGACGAAGCGTACCGAGCTGAGAGAAGGCCATATTGAAAAATAAAAATTTCTTACTCAAAAATATAAACGCTTTATGGTTAGGCTCGGAACTTAAACAATCCACGTGTAAGATGCCCGAACTTATAAAACTCCCGCTTAGATTAGATGAAACCGGGCGGGAAATTCCTCTGCCATTTTGTGCGAATCACGGCGAAAATTTTAGGGTTATTAAGAGAGGTTAGGTTATAAAAGAGGCTTAACGAACGGACTTGCGGGCGATCTGTCGAGAGATCCGCGATACGGCGACATCTGCCGTCGTGTGCTTGCGGATTTGCTCGCGGTGAAGAGAAAAGCGCTCCGCCCTTTCGCGAGAAAACCACGATCAAAATCTCGAGTCACTAATCAGAGGACACCCGCGAATGAATCTTGCGCGTAGCAATCTCCTCCGAGCTAACAGCTCAGAATTTCACGTGTCTCTTTTTTCCGCAAAGTGTACGCGACTCTTTTGTGCTCACTTCACAACCTACAAGCACGCGTCGCACGGCTCATCTAGCTCGCAGCGTGTCATCACCCAGCAACCTCGTTGAATTAAAAACTCGAAATGGCACGTGAAGTTGTTCGTGGACTCGCGGAGGAATTTTTTCCTCCAGGTCGACCTGAAACGACCGCACGTACGCGCGTCGTCAGACAACCCGTGCGCGTAAACGCAGCTCGTTACGCGACAGTTGAGTCAACGAGAGAGAGTTCTTGCTCTCCGCACAGGCGATCTGATTGCGTCAAGACGCGAAACATTAATTGCGGTTATACGTGCCCGGGACTTAAATGCAACGTAACCGGGCGCGACGGGGCGCGCCGCAGCAGCGCGCGCAGTGCGCGCCGCTGTCATTAGACGCCTCAATAATTGCGCGAGCAATTAACGCGAATGCATCGGATATTAGCATATCGATAGCTATCGAGAATCATGACCCGTTTGATGCAGTGGCCAGACAATTATGAAGCCGGATTTTGCCGATGTTTGAACGCGGCTCGGCAAATGGGCCGCTTAAACGCGTTATAGACGGTGTTTATTCGCCCCCGATATTTCTAATACTTTCATCGCTCGCAAACACACGCACGCACAAAACGGCGTTTTTATCGCCGACCGGCTTCATCGAATTCCGCACTCTGCGCGTTCGATCTCCTCCTCGTCTCTCTCTCTCTCTCTCTCTCTCTCTCTCTCTCTCTCTCTCTCTCGCGTGCGCGCGCGGAAGCATATTACTTACCAAAACAAATGATAAAACAGACGAGTGTGGGAAGAGAAGTAGACATCGCTTTTCCCCGGCGTGGCGCATTCACATATTGATATACTATCTCAGGCGCATCTCAGTCGTTTTTAAGAGAGACGCTAATTGCCGACGGAGACCGATGCACTGTCACATTCCGCGCGTGCCGGCACTCGTGACATCCCACGTACTCTCGCGCGATCGGTGCCGACGGAATCACCAGGAGCCACCGTAGATCCATGCACAGCACTCGCGCCAAGTGTGTGTGCGTACGTGCGTGTGCGTGTGCGTGTGAGTACGTGTATGTGTGTGTGTGTGTGTGTATGTGTGTGTGTGTGTATGTGTGTGCGTGTGTGTGTGCGTGTGTGCGCGCGGATGTCAGAGCGCGTTTTACGACGCTCGTCGCACGGATCAGGACGTTGCGCTTAATTAATCGCCCCCACTCCGCGGCACCCCGTCGTCGTCGTCGTCGTCGTCGTCGTCGTCGTCGTCGTCGCCGTCGTCGGCGGCGGCGGCGGCGGCGGCAAAATCACGTCAAACCGAAGCACTGGCCGGCGATTCCGTCAGCACGACGAGACGAATCCACGAACGGCACCGCATCCTCCTCCGCATCCACAAGTCACAGGTCGACGTCGCTGACGACGCTGAAGTGACGCGGAAGTGCGCTCGGGAAATCAAATCAGCCGCGGGCAGTGCTCTCGGAAGAATGGCAGTACGGCGCGACGTGTCGCGCTCGGATCCGTCGCGCGCGAATCTCGCCGACGTGACTCGGCCAACAGCGAGTTGCTGTCTCCGCTATCGGCGGGCCAGCTTGCGTTTCCTGCGACAGCGCGGCTGCTATCGCGTGTCAGCCGGCCGTCGGCCTCGGCACGCGCACTTCAAGCTCGCTCGCGCCGCATCTCGCAGCGCGATCGCTCTCGCTCCTCCGGCCGGAATTGCACTGGGGATCACGCGCGATCCATATCGACAGGTGCGCCGAAGAAGAAGCCCGTCCGCCGGCCGTCTTACTCGCGCTGCCGAGCCTCCTCGTCGTCGTCGTCGTCGTCGTCTACGCGGCTGGTCTCGCGCTACATCGGCGGCCGTGGGACCGCTCGCGATGCATTAGACGATCGTCGTTATTAATGCAATCTACATGACGCGCCGGACGTCCCATCGATCATCCCGGCGCGTGTTTCCTCCGCCCGCGCGACGCCCCGCCGCATACTTCCGGCCGCGCAATTTTTCTCCGCGAGCTCCGCACAGATCGAGAGAATCCGCCGGGACCTCTCTCTCTCTCTCTCTCTCTCTCTCTCTCTCTCTCTCTCTCTCGCGGCTGCTTCAGCACCGTCGGATCCAACTGTATAGCCGAGATGGCACCGATTCCCTCTCGGTCGCGCCTTGTCCAGGCAGAAAGGGGGAGAGAGGGAACTCTCCGTGTATTTTTCCCAGCTCTTCAATAATGCATCAATATCGCTGTCGCGCCCCAGGTAAACAAGTCTCGTCCGCAGCTCGTTGGCATAGCGGCTGCCGCGGGAGATGGCGCGTTTTACGAGCGACTTTGAACTTTAATATCCTCCATCCCTCAGCCGTCGCCGATGTGCGACTCCGTGATTGAACCGGTGCGGCGGTCCGCGATCACACTGGCTCTTCTTATCGCAGACTCGCTCAGTGCTCAGGTTTACCTCGACGCCAGGTTCTCTCGAGTCCAGCGCAGTCGAGGGAGAAAGAGAGGAGAAGAAGAAACAGGTAGTCGGTCCTTGAGCGCTGAGGAACGGTGCCTTCCGCTCGGCGAAGCGGAGCACCGCGGGACGGAATCTGCTGCGACGGAACTACCCCTCGCAGTCTCTACTGAGTCCTCGGGGGCAAGCGGACTCTCCTCCTTTCGCAGCTCCTCGGAATCCTTCAAGTGGGCAGTGTACGGTTTATTATTGCTCAGCAGCCGCTCGAATGTCCGCTCGCGACGACGCGGAAATGCCCGCACGCTGATCGTCCGCACCACGTCCGACGCCCGACGACGACGCGCCGCGACGCACCTCGCGTTCTCCACTCCGAGATCTCGCAGCGATCGCGATCGAGCGGCCGTTGGACGCGCGAGAGATCCTCCGGCTCGATCATCCGCCCGACCCGTCGCTCGATCTCCTGCACACCGCTATCACTCAACCGTATCACACCGTCGCGGGTTCGTGGGCCCTGCGAGAGGAACTCGTGGCACCGGGTCTCACGCACTAGGTCTCTCTCTCTCTCTCTCTCTCTCTCTTCCTTCCTCTTCTTCTCGGTTGTCCTTCCGCGCGCACCGCACCGCGTCTCACGTCCGCTCCGGAGCACGCATGGCCGAGGAACCGGGTCCGTCGCGGAGAACGGTCCGGGTGAACGAGGCGAGAGCGACGTCCACGTCAAGCACGAGGAGCAACGCGCGGTCGGGCCTGCGGTACCAGCAGCAGCATGTCGCGCTGACGTCCAGAGAGAGGTCCTCGGGAGAGCTGCGCGCGCGAGCGGGCCCCTCTCGCGCGAACTCTTCGCCCCCTGACACCTTCGTTCGCGGGAAGGCGCGCGCGACGCGACGACGGGGAGAAGGTCGTGGCTCTTTCGAAACGGCGATGCTCCCGCGTCGAGGATAGCCGAGGGACTACATTGCGCGAGCGCCACTCGGGCGTCGAGCACGCAGCCGCCCCGTTCAGCCCGTGGAACTGCGCCTGTGTGCGCCCGTGCTCGTCCGTGTGCCCGCCTGAGGGTGTATGGCTCTCCCGCTGTATGGGTGTGTGCGTGCGCGCGCGCGCGCGCGCGCGCGAGTTCCTCCCATAGCCCGGTTGTATATCAGACCGTTTCCCCACCCCCGCGTCAGCCGCCACCCTTTTACCCCGTCGCCTATCTCGCGCGCATCCCCTGTTCCTTCTTCTTCTTCTTCTTTCTCTTCTTCTTCCTCTTCCACTGCTAATTCTTTTTCCGCCGCTTCTTCTTCTTCTCCTGCCGCCGCCGCCGCCGTTGCCTCTACGCCTTGTTCCTCCCCCCGCCTTCTCTCTCTCTCACACACACACACACACACTCTCTCTCTCTCTCTCTCTCTCTCTCTCTCTTTCTGTCGAGCTGTTCCTCAGCCGCCACCTCGCTCGCCTCCTCGTTCTCCTTTTTCCACGCTCTTCTCGCCGACGCCGGAGAAAATCGCAGCCCCGGCCCGATAAGGACGCGAAAAAGCGCGAATCCGGTTATAACTTATGGCCGAGATAATTAAAAGGAGTTACAGAACGATAATGGAGTGCCGCCCCTGTCATCTTCTTGCGCGACCTCCGGGTCGAGCTGATCGTCGTCTATCCGCGTTGACTGTCGGTCCGGTCGACTCCGAGACGTTCCGTCACCGCGAAACTTCGCCGGGAAAGTCGCTGACTCGAGTCGCCGAGTCGGATAGCGACGGACCAGCGCGAGCGCGAGATTTACTATCGGCGGAAAGGCCGAGTCGTTAGCCGCGCGCTCTCAAGGACATCTCACCGCGGGAGCGCGCTGCTCCCATTTCTCCTCTCAAACAGTTCATTCACTAACTTCCCCCGGCCGTTCTCGATCGCCGGAACTCTCCGCGAATTCGCCCCGCGACCGCGAAGAAAAATAGACGTGTTCGCGCGGCGGAATTCGCCGGACGAACGCGCGGAAGGCGGGACGAGAGCGGCTTTATCGTCCTGTTAAGAGCCCGAGAGACGTGATCTGCTCCGACATCCCCGTGTGTTACCTCCCGCCACCCTCCCCCCCCATCCCGCGGCGTACCCGCTGCAGTCACGTGTCACCGACTACTTCGGAAAGCCAGCGTGTGGCGAGATCAATAGGCATATCCGGCGCGTCTTCGGCATTCCGAGAATACGCCAAGAATTCCGAGGGCATCCCCCGTCTCTCTCGACGTCTCTTGACGAGAATTAACCGGCCGGCGATCTTCGCCTCTTTATGATATCGACGATTACGGCAAGATCGCGGGGAAGACCCCGAAGACCGTTTGCCCGATCGCCGCGGGTTTTGCATTCCGCCGATGATCCAGTTAACAGAGCGGGGAAGCCGCCTTCCCCCGGGTTGCACGTACGTGTACGTGTGTGTGTGTGTGTGTGTATGTGTGTGTTAGGATGTACGAAGAAGCATAAAGTATCGATATTTTGTATCGATGTGAATCGAAATGCATAGTACCGATATACCGATATATTGATTAGAAATATGTCGATATTAGAGAATATCGTTAAGGTTTTTGCACACAGGAATGTGACAACGCCTGCTGCGCGGCGAAAATTCACGCGATAGCTAATCAATCGGCGGTATTCATACACAGAGAGAACGATTTAGTTGAATTTAACAAATGCTTATTTGGAATAGTCCAAATAAATTTTTTGATTGATCGAACGAAGTTTTGTTTGACGCAACAAAAATATTTTGTTGCAGCTTAGTTCCAACGAAATGTTTTTGTTGCGTCAAACAAAATTCTGTTCGATCAATCGAAAAATTTATTTCGACTATTCCAAATAAGCATTTGTTAGATTCAACTAAATCGTTCTCTCTGCGTAATAAGATCTTATATTTAAGACTGTCTTATGTTCATATTCAGATATTCTGTAGCCAATAAAATGATCTGTATAATATCTGAAGAGATGAGTTTAAGACGATCTTATATATAAATATAAGATCTGATTATGAATATCGCCCTTACGATCGCTCTACATTAGTCGCAAAATTGATCGCAGCAGTTGCAACACTTAACGCAACAGCCAATTATATGCGTCAATGGTACTATTATGCTTCTGATTGGCTGTCGCGATAAGCGTTACTAGGACTTTTCAATCAGAGACTGGGCATAAGAGAGCCAGTTTTGATTAGTCCTTTCGTGTTTCGTCAAATCATACGCAGTACTCAATCACAGTAGGTTATCTTAGGTTCAGGAGAGGTAGACAAAGAAAGAGATTGAAAATATGTCTCTATTTCTCTCGCACGATTTTGATAAAACCACAGGGCTATGGCTATGGCATACAAAAAACATAAGCAGTAAAATTTAAGCAGTAAGGAAATTAGCTAATCACGATCAATTATTCTGCGACCGTAAGGAGAATCGTCGATTGTGGTTGGTCAATTTACTTACTGCTCACGTTTTACTGCTTACGTCTTTTTATGTGCCATAGCCCTAACAAAGTAGTTTTCTCTGTTGAACTATGTTCTAGTCAAACTATGTTTTGGTTCGTATCGGATCAATTGATATTTAAGTTTTTAACTCTTTAACGCCTACTGGTAACTATAGTTACCAGAAACACATTTAAGAATCCATAACTTGGTCAAAAAAGGAGATATTTTCGTTTTTTTTGCGCCACTGTAAAGGTGAATTCTTTTTCTTGAAAAATGGTATATAGATTGTATATAGAATGATAACATGTTTTGTCAAGTTCCAAGTAGCCATAGTTAGCATTGTTACTGACATCTAGAATATAAATGAATATATTGATGTCTGTTATAATTTTGTATATTTGGAAGCTTTCTCAGATGCAAAATGTGAAATTAAAAGAATACAGAAATTCAAAATGGCGAATAATCCAATATGGTGGACATGAAAATTAAGAAATCAACTTATTTTCGTGAAAATAACCTGGTGACCTACAGTTTTTTATGCGGCGAAAAATGAAGGGACGACTGACTATCTAAATGGTGACCTAAAAGATATTCTTCTGAAATAGTAAGCTTGATGCTCTGAATGATAAACTTCACTCACAAATATAGTAAATTTTCAGCTGAAAAATGTCAAGCTGACTATCAGAGTTGTGTCGTATAGATTACCCTTCATTTTTCTCTCTATAGGTTGCTCATTTCGTATATGCTTTTAGGATCCAAGTCATATTTACCAATAAACAAAAAACGAACGATAGAAAAAATCAATATAAAATTCTGATATTTTTTTTTGTTATCACTACTTACAGTCTCAGTTAAAAACTCAAATTTTATTCTTAAAACACTTATAAAAAAGTCCGGCGTTAAAGGGTTAAACGATATGCTAAGGTATTGTAATTTAAGATATCGATACAAAATATCGAATATCAAATGGCGGATGTATCGATATTTTTAAATATCGATTCGGATCGGAACATCCCTAGTATCCGTATATGTGTATATCCTCGTAAGGATTCATAAACAACGAAACGACCCGTGGGGGATATTGGGCGCGGGCTAAATTTATGAAGCAATCGCCGAGGCAATAGTTCGTCGCGCGAGGAAACACGTATCCGTGATCTCTGCGCGTCGGGCTTGTATCTTGATTGTCTTCCATCGGCCATCGATTACCGCGACGTACACGACGACTCGATTCGCGGGCGCGCGCGTGCGCCGAGATTAATTGTTATATCGATTTGCCATGAATTTTAATGCGTGCGAAACTCGCGGCGGAGTAGCGCCACTTGATTAGCATTCGCTTTGTCAGAGGTAAGAGCGCATTACAGCGCTTCCCGCGACGTGTTGCGAATATTGTCGACGACTTCAAGTGGATGTACCTCTTTCTGCCCTCGACCGTGTCCTCCGCCGCTGTCCCCCCTCCCCCCTCCTCCGCATAATTTCGCCGTGCTTTGTTTCAGCGCGCTGCGACTGCGCTCGTAAGCCGATCTCGCGGCACACCGTCGGACTGCGCTTCACGTTCGTTAAGGGAGTTACGCTTGATCCGCCGTATCCTCGATTGAACGGTCCCGTGGGTAGGCAGGACGGGGGGAGGGGGGGGGAGGGGGAGAAACGAGCGAAGAAACAAAACAGCACATTTTTGTCGCCTGTTTTTCTTCTTCCCTCTTCGCTCACGCAGCGCGGGATATTTTACCTTATCCCCCCCGGTCACGCATTGATTCTCATACCGTAAAACAAGCCGGCGGGGTGCAAACGATGAATAGCGAGACCTACGCGGTGATACTTCGCGGTCGCGCGATACAAATGCGCGCTTTTTGTATAATACGTTGGCGCGTCACTTCTCCGCGCGTTGTTCACATTAATTTGCATCGCGCGGGCTTGTAAACTCGGAGATCGAACGCTCTGACGGACAACCCTAAACAACGAGAAAAGAGGAACGCGACAGCTCCGCGCGCGAGAGAGAGAGAGAGAGAGAGAGGGAGAGAGAGGTCCCCTTCTCTCTGTCGTTGCCGCGCGGCTTTTGCAGCTCGCTACGGTCCTATTGTTGTCATTGACGGGGCTTATCGTTGACAAAGGTATGACCCATACGGACAGATCGATGGTTATATTTCCACGCACGTGAATTTCCAAAACGTCCGTCACGATTTATCACCTGACACACACCGGGGTAACCGGCCGGCCGACTCAAGCCCGGACAGCCCCCATGGATATTTGCGATATTTAAATCTACAGGCGCGCGGCGTCATTACACGATGGAAAATCCTGACGAGGAAGCGTTACAGCTCGCGACTGCACGCCGGCCGGCCGGCTGACCGGCCGTAATTTTGCGTCCCTCGGCAAAGGGCTCGCGGCTCGCGGCTGCACGCCAATCAGCCCGGAATTCACGGCAGGGTCTCGCGCGCCTTCGAGTTCAGTAGGCATTTAGCCCACGCGCATCCCGGCTGCGAGGGCACGAGCGATGCGCCGGTCGCGTACCTCCCGTTAGGGATGCCGATTTTTTTTTTCAAACAGATCGATTTAAAGATC